AATAAATTATTATATTAATTAAAATATGTGAAAAAATTTAAAAATTTTAATCTGCCCTCATAGTTTAATGTTATCTCTCCTCCAATTTTAAATAATATTATGGTTATATTTGTATAAATATTTTACAAAATATTAAAATTAATAAAATTGTATTATCTTAAAATTAATAAAATAAATATAAATTATACTAATTAATTTATTCCTCATTATATTATTTTTTGAAAATTATAAAAAAATTTATCTTTGAACAAAAAAATTAATTAGTATCTTTTGAAATATATTCTTTATAAAAATATATTAGGATCAAAAGTAATCATTTTTAAAATTAAACATCATCAACAATTTCCAATTATTTTTATATAATATTGAGTTAAAATAAATTTAAATTTTGAAAGAGAATAGAAAAATTGAAATGATAAGAAATATCTAAAAAGATCACAAAAATAATATAGTGCATGATAACTATAAACAAAAAAATATTATAAAATAAATTTCTTCATTTTTTTTTTCTTAAATGACATATTTTCAAGCTGGGTTTGGCAATGCTTGACTTGATGAGCCCAAATGACTTAAGTAAGGTTGAGTCTACCAAACTTTTAGGCTGCATGCAATGCTCAAACTTATAGGTGTGTGTCTTCAGCCATGTACATTATTACATATTTTTTTCTATTTAAAAATATAAAGTATTTTTAATTAAATTTTGTCTTCCAATAAAATAATTATCTACTTTCAAACGAACTCTATCTTTTCAAATGAATCAAATTTTTTATATTTACCTCTATTAAATATCTTATAATAAATATAAAGTCACTATTAATAGAGGTATTTTTGAAAAAAAGGTAATGATTACACTTTAAAAAACTAAAAATGTCTTATATTTTTAACATTCAATTTTTTAAAAAATATTTTATATTTTTAAATGGAAGGAGTATATTAGATTGTGCTGTGTAGTCTCTAATAGGCTTAAATTCTATTTAAGCCCTCTTAAACCAATCGTGTTAAACATATAGAAAAGGTCTATTTTTGATTCTTGATAATAATATAGACTAGAAAGGAATTGAGTGGTCCAATAACAAAGGAGGTCCAATTCTTGAAAAGGTGAGTCATGGAAAGAAAAATTTGATTTCCTTTTCGTTTAATAAATATGGAGAACACGGATTTCACCTTAGATGAACTGAGATGAATCAATATGACATAGAAATTGGAAAACATAATAAAGCATTTCATGAATTTTGAACTGACATGAAGTATTCATGTCATTTATACTTCAAGAACATCTTCACAAAACATTTTTGGAATCGATGAAATAAAGATACTTCAATGTTCACGCACGCACGCACGCATCAACTTACGAAAATAAGATCCACAAGATATAAAATATAAATCAATTACGAAAGTGTGTGCGAGTGAGAGATCATTTTGGTCCATATAACAATATTACGTGCAATTTTTTTTTTGGGTGAAAAGGAATTCATTAATCATGACGAAAGAAGGCAAAGGTCCAAATAAATCATAGGACCAGTACAGAAAGAGACAAATGAGAGCAAGCAGAAAACAAAATTACATCAGAGTACTGAAAAGAGCGAAAGCCTTTAAAGTATGATCAACAATGATTCTAGCATGGCGTAATGTCTCTTCTGGAGTGAATGTGTTGTCTACAAAGATACCATGATTGCGAGCTGTCCAGAGTTTTTAGCATAAAACACTAACACCAATCTTTCAGGAAATATCCATGCTCTTACTTGTTAGCAGATTTGTAAGCCAATGATGTAGACTACTTCTATAGAAATCAGCATGCATATCATCTGGCAAGATTTTCTTCCAAACTCAAGTGGCTAATTTACAATCCTTGAAAATGTGATCAATAGATTCTTCTACAGCAGGACATAAAAGACAAGATAGATCAGGACTCATTCCTCTTCTATTTCGCTCAACATTTGTGAGAAGCTTTCCTTTTAATAATAGCCATAAGAAAGTTTTAATCCTCTGAGCCATTAGTAATTTCCAGATATATTTCCATTTCTCATCAGAATCATTCTAGTTGGTGTAGTTGGATGCTCTATAGAAGGATTTAATACTACACTTGCCATTGGCAGTGAGTGTCCAGTTGTAGGGAGGGTCACTGCTATTCCCATTGATTTTAATTTGTGCAATATCACTGAGTATATGTGTAGGTAGGATCTGATCAAAAAGCTGCCATCTCCATTAATTCATATGATCCAAATAGTGAGAAATAGGTCTTGCAAGCTCAGAATCAGATAATGTTGTAAAGGCAAGAAGCTTTAATGGACCATAATCTCCCACCCAATAGTCTGACTAGAATTTAATATCCTTTCCATTCTGAGAATTCCATTTGATAAACATTAACATATCCTTCCAAATTTGTGAGATATTTCTCCAAAGGTAGGAGGAATTCCTTCAGTGAACTTCAAGCGAGGATTTTTCAAGAAGTCTGTACTTTCCCTTTAAGACACGTACCCATAATAAGGTTAGTTCAAAGACAATCTTATAAGCTAGCTTGGAGATGAAGGCCTTGTTTTGACTTTCCAGATTAAGTAAGCCACAGCCACCATTTGCCAAGGGCTGATAGAGGTCAGACCATTTGACGAGGCTAATTCCTTTACGATCCTCAGTATGCCCCCAGATAAATTTCCTGATCACTTTCTCAATTGCCTTGCATGTTGAAGTAGGCAAAAGAGAGCTTTGCATTGTGAAGAGCAGGATAGAGTTAAGTATTGATTTTGCAAGAGTTATTCTACCTGCCAGAGAGAGGGAGTGACTCTTCCAACTAGAAAGTTTCTGATGTAATCTTTCTAGGATGTAATTATAGGTACAAGTAGTAACTCGGCCATTGATGAGGGAAACTCCCAAGTAGCGACCCAATGAATCAGTACTCTTGAAACCAAGTTTGTTTTAGATAGAATTCCTCATATTTGAATGAGCATTTCTGGAAAAATATACTTGAGTTTTCGAGTAGCTGACTTTAAGTTTGGAGGAGATACTAAATTGCTGCAGCACTTTAGAAATGACCTCAACTTGAGATTCTGAAGCCTCACTGAATAAAATCAAATCATCCACAGAGAAGAGATGGGATAGTGGGACACCTTTTGTTATCTAACCTGATTGTGCACCAGGTTCCTTTATCTACTTCCGTGACAATTGCTTGTGATAGTCTCTCCATGCAAAGGGCAAAAATATAGGGGGATAGTGGGTCACCATGCCTGATGCCTCTTATAGGAGTGAAGCTGTTTGTGGGTTTCCCATTCTATAGGATCTGCATAGTAGTAAGGGATATGCAGGACATAATTAGGTGCATCAAGTGATTAGGAAATTTTGCATCATTTAAGGTATCCTCTATGAAATCCCACCTTAATTTATCAAAAGCTTTTTCTAGATTAACTTTAATAGCCATCCACCCAATTTTCCTTGATTTTTTCCTCATCGAGTGAACAACCTCTTGGGCAATTATAATATTATCAACTATACTTCTATTCTTGATAAAGCTTGATTGAAAAGGAGCAATAATATCCAGAAGCACATTGCTGATACGATTAGCAATCAGTTTGGTTATGACCTTGTAGATCACAGTACACAAGCTAATAGGATGAAATTCCTTTAAGCACTTAAGGTTATCAATTTTTGGGATGAGGGCAATGAGAGTGCGGTTTAGTAAAGGGTCTAAAGGGTGATCCTGCCAAAGTTCTCTAACCAATGAAAATAAACTTGCACCTATAGTATCCCATTGAGTTTGAAAAAATAGGGCATGTAAACCATCAACACTAGGAGATTTCATTGGCTTCATGTCAAATAAGGCCCTTTTAACTTCCTCAAGAGTAATCATCTAGCTTAAAGCATCAGTTGACAAGTCAGAGATTTGAGGGAACTTACTCGAGATATTGTATGGAGTGAAAATCTCATGATCCAGAGAGTACAATGTTTCAAAATAGTGAAGAGCCATGTTAGAGAGTTCTTGGTCATCTTCTACCTAGTCGCCCTGATGATTTTGCAAGCGTGCTATACGATTTTTCCTTCTGCAGATTAGGGCTTTAGTGTGGAAAAAAGAAGTGTTTCTATCACCCAGCTTCATCCAATCAGTAGACGATTTTGTTGCTAGAGAAGCTCCTCCTGCAGAAATTCATCTTCATAATCCTCCTTTAAATGATCATCCAAATTGAGTAGGAAGTCACAGGAAGGGGATGTTTCAAGTTTCTTTTGTACTCCTAGAATTCATGAGAGTAAGCGCTTTTTCTTCTTAGAAATATTGCCAAATACCCTTTGATTCCATACACAGGCATTGTCCAAGATATTACATGCAATATTGTTCTTAGACTAAATTGTTCAAGTCTGTGCAGGTCTTGACAAATTTGAATTTTCCAAAAGATTGAGAGAGAAGCATACGTTTGTGTATTATGCGCATCAACTTCTATTCAAGTTTGTCTTCTTCACAAAGACTTTTCCTCCTGTGATTGTCTACTATACTACATTGTAATTATAATTATATTGATTTATTCTTATTTTCAAAAATTTAATTTCTTTATAATTGTTCTGAAATAAAACAAAATAAAAAAGAAATGGAAACTGTTTCGTGATTTTAATGAATACCAATAAACTAAACTATCGAAAATAATAGAGTTCATTTTTACTTATGTTATAATATATAGATAAATGGAATCACAGTTCTATATATATATAATCCAACCCCCACTTTTTTTTTGGAGTGTGTCAGCTAGTTACAAAGTTTTAAAAAAATAACGTAACTCCTGAAAGAAATACCATCCACTTTGATGACTTGAGTCTTTAAGGGATAACATATACTTGGAAACAGACTTACATTATAACACTTTCTAACTACACAAAACATATATGTGGCCTCCTGGATTATTTAAGTCGAACATATCACAGAATAAATGTGCTCGTTTCCACTTTGTCTCCAGCCAATTCAATTATGAAGGGCTCTCAAAGTAGCCTTGTGTTTCTTAACTCAATAATGAAGCCTTTATATGTCTTGTGTCTCTCCCTTTTGGCCAATATGCCTTTCCCTGTTTCTTCTCTTTGTTTTGATCTTTCCTACTTGCAAAGCTATCTCTTCATTGGGAAATGAGACTGACAACTTGTCCTTGCTCAAATTCAAGGAATCAATATCCGACTATCTACACCATGTCTTGGACTCTTGGAATACTTCTAATCACTTCTACAACTGGTACGAAGTCACTTGTGACCACAAGCATCACAGAGTTACAGAGCTGTGGTTAAATGGATATGGCTTGCGTGGATCTATAACTCCACATATCAGCAATCTCTCCTTCGTAAGAGTCATTGTTCTTGACAACAATATGTTGCACGGAGAAATCCCACAAGAATTTAGTCATTTGTTTCGGCTGCAAACACTTTTCATTGGCAACAATACACTCGGTGGGACATTTTCTATCAACATCACAAGTTTCTCTGAACTCAGTAACTTATCATTTGGTGGACATAATCTTAGTGACAGGATATCGATGGAGATTGGCTATCTCCATAAGCTTAAAAGGTTACATCTAGTTAAAAACGACTTTAGTGGGCAAATCCCAATGTCTATGTGGAATCTTTCTTCCCTTACTCTTCTTCCAATTGGGGAAAATAACTTGAAGGGGAGTATGCCTGAAGAAATAGGCTTTCTACAAAAATTAAGAATTTTTTATATAAGCAGGAACAAGCTTTCTGGTGCAATTCCTTTTTGTCCGTACAATTTGTCATCTCTCATTGTACTTGATGTTGAAGGTAATCAAATTAATGGTTCTCTCCCAGCCAACATGTTCATCAACCTCCCTAATCTCTAAGCATTTTATATTGTGTTAAATAAATTCTTAGGTCCTATCCTAACATCTATTGTAAATGCGACAACACTTGTGAAAATCTCTATAGGAGGAAATAACTTTGCAAGGAAAATTCCAAATCTTGGAAATTTTCACAACCTTTCAATTCTGGAGCTTGATAACAATAGTTTAGGAAGCAATTCATCTAAAGACTGAGAGTTTCTAAATTCATTGAGTAACTGTAGTAAGTTAAATTCGCTAGTATTGGTATAAAATAGTTTTGGGGGCTAGTCACCAAATACCATAGGAATTTTGTCCACTTCAACCCAGAATGCCCATGCTCACACAGAATCAAATATTTAGAAAAATCCCTGCGGCCTTAGGAAATCTCATTAACCTGACGGTGCAAGTAATGGAGGCGAATTATTTCACTGGCGTCATCCCAATTATGTTCGGGAAGTTTCAAAAGATGCAATACTTTTCTATGTCTGAGAATGAATTTTCTGGAGAAATAACACAATAGGCAATCTCACTCGACTATTTCACCTAAATTTGTCACATAACAAGTTAGAAGGCCAAGTTCCTCCACGTACTGGGAATTGTGAAAGCTTACAATTCCTTGGTTTGTCACAAAACAATTTTAGTAGAGCTATACCAGTCTAGATAATGAGCCTTTCATCTTTATCAATTTTACTGAACTTGTCATACAATTCTTTCAGTTGTGATCTCCCCAAGGAGGTAGGAAGGTTAAAAAATGTTGATCAATTGGTTGTCTCACACAATCGTCTGTTTGGAAATATTCCTCATCCATCGAAGATTGCTAAAGCCTGGAGCATCTCTTGTTGCAAGGGAATTTCTTTCAAGAAACAATCCCCTTATCTTTGGCTTCATTAAAAGGTCTAAGATATCTAGGCTTGTCACAAAATAACTTGTCTGGATCAATTCCAAAAGGCATGCAAGATATCACTTCTTTGACGTACCTAAATGTTCCCTCAACATGCTTGAAGGGGAGGTACCAAGCAAAGGTGTCTTTAGCAATGCAAGTGTAGTATCACTGATGGGGAATAAGAAGTTTTATGGAGGCATTTCAATGGCAGGACTCCTAACTTGCCCTCTCAAATCTGTGGGAGAAAGAAAACATCCTAATTGCAAGATGATAGTATTAGTATGTAGTGTGACTACATTTCTTCTTCTATTATCTATTGTTGCTATTTATCATCTGAGGAACAGAAGCAAGAAATCTTTAGATTCACCATCAATTGACATGCTTTCAAATTATCATATCAAAAGTTACACAATGCTACTGATGGGTTCTCTATTTGATAGAATATAGGAGTGATGGCTTTGTATATAAAAGCCGATTGGAATCTGAAGAAGTTGCTATAAAGATAATCAACCTTCAAATCAGGAAGCCCAGAAGAGCTTTGTAGTTGAATATAGTGTGTGTTTAGTTTTCAGTTTGCCAAAAGTTCATTGAATGAAAGTTCATTTGGTAGAAGTTAATTTAGTGAAAGTCAGTTATTATAATGAAATTTGTATTTGAATACATTTTTTTTAAAAGTCAATTTGATACACTAAAAGTTATTTGATTTTTCATAGTGAAATATGCTTTTGAATATATAATTACCAAAAAAATATTGATTTATGATGATTTGTAATTTTTATTATGTAAATGTAACATATTTGAAATATTTAAAAAATGTGATAAAGATTTTAAATGACATAAATTTTGATCCATAATGCTAAAAATTTGATCTCTAGTTATTTATATTTTTTTAATTTGTAATTTTAGAAAATGTGATAAAAATTTGTAATTTTTATTATACATTAATGCTAAAAACTAACATAATTAATTATTCAATTTATAATGTTAAAAACTTGATACCTAATTATTATTATTGAAATAATAATTATATTTTTAATGAATTAACTATTTTTCAAAGAAAAGAATAAGAAATTTAATTCGAGGTAATACGGTCAAATAACATCTTACTTTTTAAATTTACTTTTCAAAAAATTAAATATTTATATTTCAGAAATTTACTTTCAGTTATTGTTTGAATGTACTTTTAGGATATGCTTTTTTACAAAATATTTTACCCAAACAATTTTCAGCTTTTTGAAAGTAAAATTTTTCTTTCTAAATTTAAAAAGTAAGAAAACCAAATGGATTCATAATGTACTTAAAAATACAAGGCATCAAAATTTGGTAAAGATTTTAAAATGTTACTCCAGTATTGATTACAAGAGACAAGAATTCAAAGCTTTAGTCTAAGAGTATATGGTGAATGGGAGCTTGGAAAAATGGTTGCATCCTAATCCTAATAACACAGAAAATGCAGAGTATGATCCAAGAAATTTACTCCTTGATCAAATACTGAATGTTCTCATTGATGTTTCTTCTGCTTTACACTATCTTCACTATGAATGTGAGCAACCTCTTGTTCATTTGATATAAAGCCAAGTAATATCCTTCTCGATGGCAACATGGTTGATCATCTGAGTGATTTTGGAATAACAAGTCTACTCTCAATTGTTGAAGGCAATTCTAATAAGCAAAGCAACACAATTGGAATCAAGGGTACAGTTGGCTACGTTCCTCCAGGTACCATTTAATAATTTTTTGGCCTTGAAAACATGTAAGTTTTTTTTTTTTTTGAAAAAGGCTTGTCCTTTTTTATTTATATTTATATTTGATGATTTTACATGAGAAATAACAAACTTATACTGTTTTAGAATATGGAATGGGTTTTGAGGTATCAAGACAAGGTGAAATGTACAGCTTTGGCATTCTTGTTTTAGAGATGTTGACGGATAGAAGACTCATGGAAGATATGTTTAAAGATGGTCAAAATATCCATGAATACGTGAAAAGGGCATTTCCTGATAAGCTTTTGCAAATTGTGAACCCTACTATTTTCTCTAGAAAATTAGAACATGTAGTGGCAGCATCACGAGAATCATCAGAGAGAACATATATAACAATGATCCATCCAAACGTAGAGAAATACTTAATTTCTTGATTAGGATTGGACTTGTTTGTTCAATGGAATTGCCACATGAAAGGATGAGTGGGATGGATGTCATCAAGGAACTAAGTCTTATCAGAAGAAGTTATTTTCCTTATAGAGAGAATAGTAGTAGAGGCTAAAAGATTGCATAATGAAGGATTGTCATTGTCCACGTGGCCGCCCCATAATCAGTTTGTGCGTGCTTTAGATGTTTCATCACTTATATGTTTATGCTTTTGTATTTCGTAATCTCCCTTACATTCAAACTTTTGGAGTTGCTTTAATTTGCTCAATTTGTTTTTCCTAGTATATATTTATATTATATCGGCGTGGTATTGCAGAGTAATTCCATCTTTTCTTAAAGCACGATGATTTTTTTTTTTCTTCACAACTTAGGTTGATGGAATTCATAGCATATCTTATGATTAATTTTGTTGGGGGACAGCCTTTATATCAGTTTATTCATATGGTTAAAAACTGTATGTCTATTGTGCATCTAAGATCGGCTTTTGGGAATGGTTAATAATCATAATTTTTTATTGAAACATTTTATTAAAAAATGTAGAGTATCTCATATTCTTGAATTAATATAATGGAAATTCATTTTATAAAAAAAAATTATTTTTTAATAGAAATTTTCTCCTCAATTTCTCACACAACCAACGTGAACTGGTTCAAACAATAATAGAAATGAGAGCTAGACTGCTATTGATTGAGGGAGCACCACGTTATGACAACAAAAGTTTGACATTCCTTGCCTCAAGTTATGAATTATGACTTTCACCAGCCTCAAGTTAATCTGCTGCAATCCTTGCCAAGTTGCCTTCCTATATATGCGTATTATTGTATACACTGTTAGTCATGGAATGGTAATTATTTGATTTTTCACCTAAAATATCTGTTTCTCTCTGTTACCGAAGATTTCTTTCTTTTTTTTTTTTTTGCGAGATTCTATCAACAGTTAAATAAAAAAAAAAAGATTACCAATATACTGCACCTCGGGAAGTATAGGGACCAATATACCGGGTGCATCTGCAGAGCTCATTAGGGTAATGAGATGTGAATTACTTAGATTAATTTAGATAATTTGAATAGTCTAAATTTAAAATATTATTTTATATTTATTAAAAAAATTATAAAAATTATAAATTTTTTTTTCATAAATTTTAGGAAAAATTAGTTATTTAATTCTTTAACTTTCAACTCAATTATAATTTAATTTTTTCAATTTAACTCATCGTAACTCAATTATTTAAGTTTGGTCCGTTTAAAACCTCCATCCTTGCCGTTAATAAATCAGACTAAATGTTGTTTATGTATATTAACTCTATTAATTGTTACTTATGTGGCAACTATATCAGCACCATCTTATATTTACGTGACAACTAATTAAAAATAAAAATATTGAAATGCAAAATCAAATATGAAAATCTGAAGGAAAAAAATAAGAAAAAATTACAATCAGGTCCCACAGAAGAAATACAACCAGGTCTCACAAAATAGAGAAATTATTTTGTAGTCGATTGGTCCTTTGGCATGAATAATTTTGTAAATAAAATTTCTCATTTGCCCTGACTAGATTAAAAGGAAAGAACAAACAAAGAGAAACCATTTTCACGCAGTGGAGGTAAAAAGTTGAGCTCTCACGATCGTCTTTGAAAAAGTGAGCCAAGTATGATCATTTTGTAGCTAAAATGTGAACCCACGGTTATCCTCCCATCCCATATTGCTGCATCTTTAATCTTCTAAGTGTGTTCGGTGTTTGCGACTGTAGGAGTTCACCAAGTAAGAAAAAACTAGCTTCGACCTTTAGTTTTACTGTTACGGTGACCGCACTAAACAAGTTAAATGATGAGACTAGTTTGCATATGTTCTTTGCTAATCATTTAATTCAGTCTTTTATTGTTTGTTAGTCAAATAAAGCCATATGGGTTGTCTTTTTCTCTCCTTATGTGGTATGTATGTGGTGAGCAATTAGAGGCTTACATCTATAATGGTGTACTCGAGATCATAAGGCCACTTGGTTGAGTTAATAAATTTGTTATCAAATGGCAAGGTATGTTGTTTATAGCCTAATCGTACGTTGTCCATATGCTATGAGTAGTTGTCAATATGTTCTGTGTGGTTTAGGTTGAGCTCATAAATCTATTATGAAATGACAAGATGTGTTGTTAATAGTCTAAGCATAAATTGTCAATATGCTATGAGTAGTTGTCAATGTTCTATGTGATTCAGGTTGAGCAGATAAATCTATTATGAAATGGCAATATGTGTTTTTAATAACTTAAATGTAAGTTGTCAATATGCCACTTTAGGTTAATGTAAAGTGGAGGTAGTAGATCGTGATGCTTGCCTCTACTTCAATAAGTGGTGGCCCTAGCTATTTAGGCATATTATAAAGTGTCATACCAAAAGTATTGTTTTACTGTCACATACTTTTCCTTCATATTGTTCATTTGTTCTTACATGCTTTTCTTACTTTGTAGATAAAGATTGAGGGCAATCTCTTGTGTTAGTAGATTTCCTAAGAGGCAATATTGATGCTCTTATTGCTTCTGAGATCGTGACAATCCCTACTATTAAGATCATAGTTAGAGAGATTGAACAAGACGATGAGGCCTCATCACAGGTCTCGTCTTAAAGAAACCAAAGCTAAAGAGAAGCCAATACCTTAGTCGAGTAAGTAAGGGGGAGGAAGTTGATAAAAGGAAAAAGGCCATGTCTCTTTCAATTGCTCTAGAGCCCAAGAGAAGGAAAAGGACATCATCCCCCTTGGTGGCCTCCAAGTAGCCTCCTCTTCTACTTCATTCGACTGAATCCAGTGTTAAAAAGGACGATCTCTCACAAAAACATCCTCGCTAAGTGATTTTGTCAAAAAATTCAAAGGATGGCGAAGCAAGCCCTCTTCTGCTCAATGGGTTAGAGGCTCAAAGTTCTCTAGAAGCCCCTATAGATCCTCTAGTAACTGCCTTTACTACAGTCCTTAAGGTAACTCATGGTTTGGAAGGTTAAACAGTCCCTGTTGAATATCAAGAAGTTACATCTATCATGGCCTTAAGGGTGACTGGTGACTTAGAGGGTCTCAGGGCTCTTGTAAAGCTCAAGAGCCTGCTTCCACTACGGCCCTAGAGGCAACTCCTATTATTACTCTAAAGGGAGGTGCTGGGCCCTTGAATTATGAGATACCTGTTGTGGAGCAATCCGGGCCTGTTGACGCTAGCATAGCAACTGTTGATCCTCTATTTAAGGGTCTTCATCAGTCCCCTTAGCCTTCAATCCTGGTATAGCTAAACCTAATGAGTTTGAGCTAACTGCTCCTGTGGGTTGAGTTAAAAAGGCTTTGCGCTTTGCACTCATCCTTTACTCCATAGATAAGGCAAGGCTGTGGTAGACCTGAATCAAGTATGTTTCTGCTCTTGGTTTATTTATTTATTTTTTTCATTACTCTATTGACTAATTATTTGTGTTTCTCTAGTTGATCTCAATGATGGCGGCCCCCGTTGACACTCTTTTAACCCATCTCTGTATTTTTGATAAGAGGTTGTTTGGGATGCTTGGAAGGCCATTCAATTCCATCTGAGTCAAAACCCTCTGTTACTCTTTGAATAAGGTTATGAAGAGCTTCTTCAAACTGTGTCAGTCATAGAAAAAGCCCCTTCCCTACTCGAGTTAGAGCTCCTTCATCAGTACCTTTCAGACTGTTATGGCACCATCAATTATTGTCATATGGAGCTCTCATCCTTGACAGACTACCTTTAGAAGAACTGGAATGTTAGGGATGAGTATAGCGATGCTATGGCTCAGGTGATTGTTGCCAATGATCGAGTTAGGGAGATTCCATGTGTAGTCCATCTCAATTCGTTACGGATTAAGTTAGCTAACCTGAGACAACAACTAGCAGCTGTTAAAGAGGAGTTGGCATGAGCTGAAGAGGGTAATGCTAAGTCTGAGCTAGAGGCCACTACCAAGGTATTAGATGAGGCACGGGCCATATCTGAAGGAAAGATTCATCTTCTAGCTGAATTAGATATAACCCTTGGTCGGTACTAGTTGTTAATTGCTGAGTTAGACGCAGTACTGGAAGTGTGGGACACCTTTTGTGCTTATAGTATAGAATGATTCTTGTTACCTTTTGTATCAGACTTATATAAATATACATTATTTTCTTCTCAAAATTATTGTTTTCTTTGTGTATCTTGAGGCCACTCTAAGCCTTAGGTCTTTGTACCTATTTATTTGTCTTGAGGCCGTTCTAGGCCTCTAACCCTTGTGCTTAGTTATTGTGAGGGCCAATATATCTTTAAGTATTTCTTGTTTATAGCCCATATGTGTGGAATCTTGTCAAGACTAGATAACCAATATATATTTCCTTCAAGTACTTTGCTAATTTTGAACAATCTTTCCTAATTAGGTGAAAATTTACCAAGTGTCTGGTCCTTAGTACCAGGTGGTAAAATGAGTTTCCACATAAGTTCACCCGTTAAAATTGCTTCTTTTTTATCCTTTTATTATATATTTTTTAAAATTTCTTTCTTCTAGGAGATCATATGCTTGCAAATGCATTTTATCTAACTGAATTAATTTGTTCATCATGGCTTCGTTATATTCCTTTAAGGATCTTCATATGTTGCTAGCAACATGTAATGAAGGGACCATTACTTACATTAGTAATATGGCCTCATGCTTATATGTTAACAAATACCGACTCGTGCCAATGGCTTCTCTCTTTAAAGTTTTGTAAGCCTACGATGCTTCAAGAAGTCACATGTGCCATTCTCTAGGATTTTCCTTGATTGTTTTCTTTTAAATTCCCAGGATTACATTATTAGAAGCTTTAGCTTATTTGTTTTCCTGAAGATAATATGGTGAATATGTTAATAATCTAATCCTACCATCTTTGATAAAGGCCTTAAAGCTACTTCCAGTGAATATGGTCCCTTAATCTGTCGTGATTGTTTGAGGAATCCTAAAACAAAATACAATTTGTTTGCATACAAAATTAATCATATCATCTCACTCGACTTTCTTCATAAGAACAGCCTCTACCAATTTTGTGAAATAATTTATGGCCACTACGACATAAGAGTAGACTTTAGAGGATGCCAGATAAATTTTTCCTATTATATCCATAGCCTACCCTTTGAAAGGCCATGGTTTAATGATGGGATTCATGTCTGATACTGGTATTCATTGTATTGGCCTGTGAGTCTGGCATTTCCTATGCTCTTAGTGTATTCAATGAAATCTTCAATCATTGATGGCCAGTAATATCCATATACACACACCATCCATTGCATTTTGGCCCTGACTGATGGGCCCTGCACACTCCTCTATGTACTTGTCTGAAAACCTCCATGTATTCAGTAAATGCTAAATATTTAAGTAATAACCCATCGAGGCCTTTCCTATATAACTCTTCTCCAATTAAAATGAAGTATTGGGTGTGTATCCTAATTCTGTACGAATATCATTAGCTAGGATTATGTAAATAACTTTTGAAGTCATCTCGCCAATCTTGGGCTAACTCTTATGAGACCATACTATATTGTACTATCAAACCTCATTGAAATATTGAAGGATGCTCTTTCATTCTACTACAATTACTTTTGTTGTAAGTTCTGGTGAAAGTCTTAGCCTGATATTATTTGTGCTAACTCATTGGCCTCCCAATTCTGGTCCTGAGGAATATGTATTAGTGTTACTTCCTCAAATTCTTCCAAAATCTAAGAGGCTAGAGGCTCTGCATAGTTCATTACTAGAGCTAGGCTCATATACTTTTACTCACCAGTTAATTGTTTAATAAGGAGTTGGGAGTCTCCTTTTATGACTACCTTATGGGCCATCGATTTCTGAAGGATTTTGAGGCTTGTGAGTACTGCTTTATTTAGCTTTGTTGTTAGTACACTCAAAGTTTGACTGAAGAGATAATATAGTTTTTATGCTCATAGGAGATGTTATTACCACCCTATCCCTAGATACTTGTTCTATGCTAAACCCATCGAACTTAAGCACCTAAGGCCCTGCATTTACTAAGAACACGGGTAATTCTTTTTCATCTTTGAGTAGCCTGGCTGAAGGATGATTAGTTAGGAAATTTGCTAATGCTTGGCCCTTTACTAATTTTTAAGACAGAAATATTAATGAAAATTCACCCAAGGCCAGGCTCCATTTCCCTATTCAGCATGTGCTTAATTAAGTCAGAATATGAAGCCATATACATAACTGCATTTATTATATAATGTCTTAATTTGGTACAAACATAATATAATGCTAAATATGATATCTCTACAAGTGAGTATCTAGTCTCTTGAGAGCTAAACACTTACTCAAATAAGAAACTGCTTGCTCACACACCCTATCTACAATTTAGGCTAACATACAACCTATGAACATGGTAGTGGAAGCTAAATACAAAATGAATGGTATATTCTTCCTCGTGGCCACTAAGACTGAGGGCTTTGTTAAATGTTCTTTGATTTTATCAAAGGCCTCCTGATTATGTTTGGTCCAGATGAATTCCTCGACATTCTTAAATTTTAAAAGTTAGAGAATTCCTTTGTTTTATCCGCCAAATTTGGAATGAAACACTTGAGCTAATTAACTTGGCTTAGGAATCTTTATAGCTCTTGTTTGTTCCTTTTCGCCTTTGTTTCCAAGATAGCTCGTACTTTATTTTGGTCTACTTCAATTCCTCTTTTGTGGACTAAGAATCCAAGGAAGTTACTTATAGTCACACCAAACGCACATTTAAGTGGATTTAATTTAAGGCCTACTTCCCTCATTTAATAAAACCTCTTCCTCAAATGTTTAATATGATCTTGTGCTTTTTTTGATTTAATTATTATATCATTTATATACAAGTTTAGGTATTTTCCTATCATATTATGAAAGATGGCATTCATAGCTCACTGATAGGTAGCCATAGTATTTTTAAGTCTGAAAGGTATACCACTCATTCAAATGTTCCAATAGAGCCTTGGTACCTAAAAGTAATTTTGTGAATGTCTTCTTTCATAATGAATATTTGGTTATACCCTAAAAAATATTTCATAAATGATAATAGTGCATTCAAAGCCTCGACGTCTATTAACCTATTTGTGATGGGCATTACATACACGTCTGTAGGTGTGGCCATGTTTATATTTCAAAAATCTACACAACCCATAGTTTCCTATACTTCTTGATCACTGGAACTATGTTCAAGAGCCACTGAGCATACCTTCAAGGAAATATGAAGCCAACCCATAGGAAGTATTTGATCTCCTCCTTTACTCGTTGCTCTACCTCAATGGACATCCTGTGAAAGGGCTGCTGACGTGGTTGATAATTCAGCTTTTTAAGGAGCCTATGTTCAACCAGTTATCTTATTAACCCTGGCATTTTATCATAGTCTCATGCGAAGCAATCTTTGAATTCTTGTAATACCTATCTTAAGGAATTTTTCTATTCCTAATCTAGTAACAAGCTAATATAGGTAATCCTTAATTCCTCTGAGGATCCAAGGTTTACTTCTTCAAGTAGATCTTATACCTTTGGGGGTATGTCTTCAATTTTAAGGTGCAGGATCTAGCTCGTGTAGTTTTGTTATTCCTTGAGATTTATCTTTGTAAATGACTTCGGCCTATAGTATCTCAAGTTTGTAGTCTTCCAGTTACTCTTGCATAATATGAAACTATAGTTTATGAATAGTCGTGGCTGTTACAGCCTTTTTGTGTTCTAATTCAATCATCCATTAATTCCATGATAGGCTCATGCCTCTATCATGTTAGAGGTAAGATAGCGTGTGTTACTGAGTTAAAAGGAGAAACTTTTCTTGGGGCCCCTTGCTGATTTATCCTTCAAAAAGTAAAAGGGCACATATTGGTATCATAGTACCTAGTATTTGTGAAGTCTGTATCTGCTATAAAAGGCTTGTCCTCAGCCTATACCACTTTTACTTCTTTCCTTTCCACATAAGTAGCATTTGATAAAGAGAATAAGGACCATATTCGTTAGTATATATCCAGTCTCAATTTGGTAAAGGCTGATATTGTGCTGTCATATTGATCATAAAGAAAACCATGAGAGAGGATTTAAACCCTACATCAACTTGTAATGGTAGAACCCCAAGGACTTTCGAGCCAGTCCCTGTGAATCCTATAATAGATACCTCTGTTGGCATCAAATCTTGTTCTTCTCGTCCTATTTTGAGCATTATATGAATTGGCAGTATATTCACTATCGAGCTATTGTCCACCAGTACTCGAGTCATAAGCTTCCCATCAAAATA